TGGACAAAGCATCCGCCGTGCTCAACGGTCTCCTCAGCGTCCAAGTTGGTCACGTGATTCACATATTCGACGTCAAGTCGTGGCGGCATTACAATATTGATGTGTCTATCGAATCCCACCACGCGCTGAAAGATAAGGAGGGTGCCCTTCAAGACCACCTCGATCGTGCAATTCCTCTTGTAGAATAGCAAGTTTCGTTTGCGTAAATATGATCAATTCGTGTACTTCCTGGTCGACTTTGCTGACGCCACTTCAAGTCTTAATAACCCCCGCGAAATCTCAAGAACCACAGCACATGCCGTATATATGGATACTGTATGTTCCTATCGAGCGATGATGACGGAACTCACAATTGTCAATAATAGTAGATCATGACACTCATAACCTTTCGCAATACGAGAGGAGCGAGCATTATTCGAAATGATTAGATATTTTCTGAAGAATAAGAAGTCTTAGGTATTGGGAGTTTTGGGACTTATCGGGTACAAACTATCTGTCAGAAATTGTTTCTTCTCTAAACTCATGCAGGGAACGACGGAAATCCGTCCTCAGTGGCACTGGAGAAATATCTTGAAATTTGAATAACGCAATAATATTTCGACCGTAGGTTTTGCTGGAAATGAAGTTCTATTCACAGTGGTCGAACGCATCGACCGACCTTTTCTATAACTTGAGTCTTGTAGATGAATTTTTTCATAAAAAATTATTGTACTGCTCCGCGTACTCTTCCGAATACAATAGAGATTTCGCAAACCAGCCATTGCCAGTGCCATAGAACTAGAATCCGAACCGGCAACGGCAATGGCAAGGCCGTTTTGGTCAAATGGCTGCCATTGCAGCATACGGATTTAGATCGTAACTCGAATCATTCACAACTGCACATATTTGATTTGTTCCTGCCATGAGTACTGAGTCAGTACTCGTCAGTGCTAATGACGAATCGATTATTGCTCCCCGGGTGTACAAGTGGACGAAGCGAGCAAGAAGCTCAGTCCAGCTTCAACAACAATGCTTCTGGAGTATGCCCTTGGCATACCTGTGGAACGACCCTTGATCCTAGCCGTCAGCTTTGACATCAACATGCGTGATGTTGACGCAGTGCTCTCGTTTCGTTTCGATGTCTCCGGGGTTCTTCAGCTCACGTCTTTGCTCGAGGTGCCGAACGTTGTTATTACATCAGCACGGGACCGAGTTACTGGTGTTGAGGCTATGGCTATCCTGCTCAAACGTCTTCGCTACCCCATTACATTTTACGACATGCTTTCAACCTTTGGTCGGTCTCGTGAGCAAATATGCCGCATATTCAACCACATGTTCGGTTAGTCTACACCTCCTGGAGGGATCACATCTACTGCAACAAGCGCATTGTTCGAGCACGAATCGCTCAGTATGCCATCGCAATCTACGCAAAGGGATCACCACTTTCAAATGTCTGGGCATTTCCCTACGGAACCAAGGTTGAAACTTGCCGTATTAGTGCATCCGCCAACGGCGCAATTCGATTGAACTTACAAAAGCGGACGTACTCAGGCCACAAACGCATGCACTGCCTCAATTTCCAAGGGTTGACGACCCCAGATGGTTTGTGTATTCACTTCTTTGGACCCTTGGAGGGTAGTCGACATGATGTGACGTTGCTTCGCGTCAGTCAGCTGCAAGAGTACTTTGAGGCCAATGCGGACATATTTGATGGCTACTACAGTTATGGGGACCCTGCCTATCCCATTTCAAAATGGATTGTGTCTGGCTACAAAGGGAACAACTTGGACGTGCAAAAACAGAGTTTCAACACAGCCATGAGCCGAGTCCGCCAAGGAGTCGAATGGAACTTCGGTCGAGTGAAAACTTTGTGGGGATTTACAACCTACAAAATGCAGCAGAAGATAATGCTATCCAACGTTGGGGCAGTGGTTCTCGTGGCAATTTTCATGACCAATTGAAATACCTGCTACCGCGGCGGAAACCAAATTTCATCCTACTTTGGCATGAACCCACCGACACTGAAGGAGTACTTGATGACGGAATTCACACACATTGTAGAAATTTAACAACATGAAATGTCCAACTTTATGACTACTTTTTACTGTCCAACAAAGCTTTAATGATGCTTGTCATTTTCGCGCTCTCAATGCTAGCCTATGCCAATTGGTGCTCACGCTCTGCCTTCCAATCTTCTCGGCCGAGCTCACGTTGCAGAATCTCCGACTCGAATTTTCGCGCTGGTAAGCGAGCTCTCTATCTCGGGCGACCAATTCACGTTTGCTCTCGACCACGATTGCAGCAGCCAGACTGTTGCGACGGTTCTCGTGCGCTGGACGCTTTGGATCGTCGCCTTCAACGTCGCGTCGTCGCTTCATCGTCTTCATGGCCATTTCGCGGACGATTTGTCCTTTTCGTCTTGACCTTGGGACCGCTTTTGTTCCTCTGTCTTTTGCAGCTCGATCTTCACATCATCGTATAAGGTGACGATGTCGTCCAGAAGCATATGCTTCTCCTTCTCTTGCTAGTCAGTGCCCGAAAGTCGCGCTGATGCTGCGTCGACCTTGCGATGCTCGTCAACGAGGGCGAGGAACCGATTCTGTAGATTCTTCCCATCGACAACACGGCCGAAGTTCTCGCACGCCATAAGGGTATCCGCAAGACCTTGCCAAGCTCGCTTGAGCTGCCCTTTCTCAGCAGCGAAAGGAGTACCGGCTGCCACCTGCTTGAGAAGGGTATAGTCGTCTTCTTGCGACTAGTTACGACGCTTGTCTGTGTTGGCCATTTGGGATCGGCTGTATCTGGCTATGGCACGACTCTCCGTACATTTGGCCGATTCTGTGGCAACCCAAATTAAAATTTAGAGGTTTGCCGTACAATTATCAAGTGCCAAAGCTTATGGCTCTGGCGCCGGGAATGGATCGTTTGCGAAATCTCTCTATTGGACTTGTTCGCATTCCTTCAAACAAAACACTCTTTATGAAGTGCTCCATCAAATTTAAGAATGATAGTCAATTTTCATCCATAGATTAGTCTTCGACAATCGATGAAGTCCTCGAAAGAATATATGCGTTCGTAGTGTCATATAACCTTGACGGAGTTTATTATTTTGCAATCTGATAAATCATCCTTCATTCTAATTGGTCCGCTTTAGGATTATAGGTGCGTGGTTTGCATGATTATTCACCTTTCATTCTTCAACAAGCCCGCAATGCCTGGACTCGCCTCTGAGCTCTACGACGAGATCAGAAGCTTCGTCGATAGTGAGCGAACGAGCAGTTTATCGAGAGACGAACGTCTCTCGATACTTCGCGTGCATGCACACCTACGCCATAGCAATGCTGTAGGTGTTGCATATCAGATTGCACAGCTGGTAGGTCGAAGCCTTCATGCTATAATGGAAGTATGGTCTGAATGGTGCCAAAGTTGCTGCGAATAGGTCTAACCGCAATACACGTATTCCAGACCCAAAAGTGGTCTTATTCATCATTCAATCACGTGTCGTGAGCGCCGATCAACCCGCGCACGAGTGGTTGCAAAAGATGTGATGAGTTTATTGTATGAGTATGGTATTGTGCATTACGATTCTCAAAACGAAAAGCGGAGAATGCGTGTTTGCGACTAGAGCAGAAATTCCTTGTCAATATGGGGTTCCAACGCTGTCAAAGGAAAGGAAACGATTCTATTAGACGCACTGATACTGTTGCCAGTGCTCGTAATAAATATGTTCAATATATTATCACTGCCATTGAGTCCTATCAGCGTCGGCCGGTAAACTATTTGGATGAATCCTATTTACATCACCAATATACTCATCATAATGACAGTATATACCATCCTGATGAAGCTACCTGCGCCAAACCGAAGCACAAAGGGCGTCGGCACTGTTTCATAGCAGTCATGATGGCTGACGGCAGCGATAACTCCAAGCTCTTGACCTACGAAGCGTTTGAAGGAGGTTACAATCGACCCAACGACTACCACGCAAGGTTTACCCAAGCTTACTTCGTCACTTGGTTTCAGCGCTTGCTTGACGGCGTTGCTGCTCTAATGAAATCAAAAGCGATCATTGTGTTAGACAACGCCAAGTACCACAAGGGCCTACGGGACGGCACCCCTTCAGAATCGTGGACGAAGGCAAGAATGATGCAGACGTGCGCCACCTACGGCATCGAATTGGACGTCAAAGAATATCCTTCAGCTTTGTGGGTCAAGTTCAAAGCCCACATCGCATGTGGGTTGAGGTCGGCGAAGACTCGAGAGTTGACTCGACCGAAAAGCACTCTGACCGCCTCACTGCTGTCATGGGAGCATGCACAGATGATGTGTCGTGATTTTTACGTATTCTTTTATTGGTTGTTCAATACGTTCTTAGGATCGAAGCTACCGAATCTCTTTCTGTTGGGGGTACTCAAGGTGATGTTATCCAGTCTGAAGAATTGCCGACACTCCCATCTGGTAATCTTTATGTGGTTCAAAAATTGCCTGGACGGATGACTCAGCTTGGGAACTTTATCTCAAGGAGCTATTGGAGTTTGAGCAACTTGTACCCCCTGTTTTGCTCGTGGACAATCTTGCCACCCACGTGTCGTCGATATCGTACAAGCTCGTGGGCAAAGAGTTGCATGACGTTTTGGAGCCGTTGCCCCCAAACTCAACCGGCGCTTGCCGACCTCTTGATGTTGGGATCATGGGACCACTGAAGGCGAGATTACGTGCGTTGTGGCTATTGGAGAAACCTGTCGCGTTTGCAGCCGAAACGAGAAGAAAAATGGTCGAACCATAAAGGCCAGGCAGGGGAGTCCATCAGTGTAGATACGGTGAAGAAATCGTTCGAGAAGGCAATTCCTCGCATTGTCCAGTTGTGACGTGGAATATTAGAGTGATTTTTGCAAACGAGGAATTCCTCGTTGACTTTCCTAGAAACTTCATCCGGAAATTGACTATGCTGTAGCTTTTGCAATCGTGAATTTTCCCATCATCCCCATGAGCGATGGACTCGATGTCCTCCCTCTAGTTGCTGTATTAATAGAAGAGCTTACGTCCACTTCAAGGGCCATCACAATTCCCAACGTGAGCTTCGACTTGAACACCCACAGCAACCAAGACTGTGAGTTCAACTTCCGCTTCTCCAAGCACGAAATTCGACGACGAAATTCGACGACTTGCACGTATCCTCTTGTTGCCCAACCCCATAGTCACACCAAGCCGCTACAAGGTTGATCCCGTGGAAGGACTTTGCATCGTCCTTAATCGGCTTGCATGCCACACAGACTTGGCTCGATGGTTCAGCTTTTCGGATGCAGCCGGGAGGCCCTGTCATGCATTGCAAACCACACCATGCAGCACATATACGACAAGTTCAGCCATCTCCTTCTTTGGAACTCCAAGCGACTTAATAGCGACTGGATGCGAACTTGTGCTCAGGCCATAAGTGCACAAGGATCTCCACTGGATACATGCATTGGTTTCATTGATGGTACAGTTCGTTCAATCTGCCGACCAGGTCGACGAGTTCAAAAGACTGCCTACAATGGCCACAAGGTATGAGAAAGTATTTGAATTACCTCTGACAATGTCCCTAGCGAAAACATGCTATCAAATATCAAGCGGTCACGTCCCTGAGCCAGGTTCGCGGTATGATGCATACTTGCTTGCAAGAAAAAGTCTTGTCGAAATATTGACGCCGAAACTTCTGGTGGGCGATACCAGGTCATCATTTACGGAGATCCTGCATACGGCATCAATGATGTCATTGTGTCGGGATTCAAAGGTGCAAATTTGGACGAGCACCAAGCCGAATTCAATAGGCGAATGAGCTCTGTTCGACTTAGTGTTGAGTGGGGTTTTGGCTTTGTCTGCAATTTGTGGACATTTGTTGACTACAAAGGAGGAAAAAAACTGTGGTTGCAAGCAGTTGGCGTTCATTACACTGTCGCAGTCATATTGACAAATGTTCATACTTGCATGAGAGGAAACCAAATCTCCAAATACTTCGGAGTCAAGCCACCATCAGTTGAAGAATATCTGCATGTCGAATAAATCTTGAAATGAAGTCACAATTTATGGCTTTGATCATTTCAATCGTACTGCGCAAAAATTCCAATTGAGTCTCGCGTTCAGACCTCTCAATTTCAATGCGAGCTTCGCGCTCTGCTTTGTCAAGCGCATACCTTGCTTGTTCTAACTCAAGCTTTCGTTGTTCAAGTGCCAGCACTTCTTTGTTCATGGCAACCTCTTCAGCCTTGATCCGAAATGACTCTTCCATCATGGCAGTAAAGGTTGAAACAACAGAAGCAGCATCCTTTAAATGTCCAACGCGCTGAAACTTTTTGTTCTCAGGCTCCTTGCTCGATGGGCTCCAACTCGAAGCCCAAGAAGCACCTTCTTCCTCGTTTTTGCGCTTCATGGCCATCAATGTTGCCTCTCGAATCAACTGTCCATCGCTTTTTCTCTTGTCTTGTACTGAGATTGCAGTCTTCTTCTTCAGTTGAGCCAAATCCATCTACATAGCCGTCAAATACTTTTTGGTGGTCTAGAGTACCATATCCGAGATATCTTGTAGCAGTTGGTTCCGCTCTTGGTACTCCTCCTCCGTTCCCGATGTACGCAAGCCTTTAGAGTGGCTTTCTTGAACGCTGAAAGCAAATCGTCGAATCGTTTTCTGCAGCTTGCTGTGGTCAAGGTGTCGCCGTGGCTCACTCGCATGTGCTCGCAAATCTCTTCCCCTCGAGCACCAGTTTGACCGTAGGCTGCCTCGAAAGGGGCAATCATCACAACCTCCTTGAGGAGGTCACTGTCTGCTGACACAGAGAAGCGAAACGCCGTCTTCTTGCGCCTTATGGCTTCGTCCTGCTTGCTCATATGATTCTCAATGGTCGACGAGTGTGGAAACATTTTCCCTGTGGAACATTCTCACAAGTAAATTCTAGAATCGAAATTTCGACTTTGCGCGTGTCTTTGCACCTCACCGGCAAAATGTCCAAATTTCCACATTTGCAAAATCACTCTATTACCAATCTCTCCATTTTTGACTTAGTCATTCAACTTGAAGAAAAAATCAACCCAGGGTTTTCACTGTTGGCAAACCAATCTTATATGCTTTCGCGTGGGGTGTTAGCGCATATTTTGGAGCACAGCTAAATCGTTCTGAACCATTTTGCTCGAAATTTGCGCTTGCCCACTGTTGTTCAAAACTACGCACCATAAATTTCTCCTGTTGTGAGGAAACGAATATACGTCCAAGGTGCAATAAACTGAACGCATGTATCAGGTAGGGACACGCATAACGTATGTTTTAACTTAATTAATGATTGGTACCATATAGTCAGCCAAAAGGATTTTTTTACGTTTTGACAACTTGTGCACCACAGTTGATATGATAGGATAATACCAAGAAACATTAGGATAACAGTAAACTACAACTGTAAGTATCTGTAATACTGGGTATCTGTAATCTGGGTATCTGTAATACTGAGTACGGTAGTTGATTGACGACAGCCAGATTCAGTTGTATCATACGATGTACTTGGACGTGGAAAATATTGTCATCGATTGGCCAAATTTGTTTATATTTTAATGAGTACATTTTTGACGCCCATGATGTTTATATTCCAGGTATATGGTCGAGAACCCCGGGGGAAGGAATTCCGTTGTTCCCTGCAACAAAGCCGCCAAGTGGGCTACGGGCTTCGTCCGTCGTGCGGAGCAATTGTTTGTCTGGATTATTACTTCTGAACGTCAATGAGGAACAGCTCAATGTTATGTAGACTAAGTCCCGCTGCTGCTAAGATATCAAGATTTCCTCTTGACTTAATTCTAATTCGTGAAGGACCTGTATTAGGCAACAGTTGTCTTCTTGAGCAAGTTACAGGAAAAGAACCAAATCCATACCCTATGGTACACACCCGTACGTCTGGAATTCAATATTGTGGACGTCCACAATCAATTTTCATTAAATTCAAAATTATTTTGGCCGATGGATGACAATATATTATCCACGTCCAGGCACAGGATGTGATACAACTGACCTGGCTGACAACAACCATACATATTGTTATTGTTACTTAGTTTACTGCCTCACTGGTCAATTTCGACCTGTCGTTTCATGTATGACATCACAAACTAGCGATGAATAATGTGACGCACATACCTTGCTTCAACGTCTCCTGCCTTGTCATGTGCCTTTTCTACCTTCCTTGCCCACGTAGAAACAAATTCCATAGTGCTCCTAATGCAGCTTTCACCGTGAGAAACGCTTTCTCTTCGAGATCCGTCCACTTCCAGGGCACGGATTCCTTGGCAAGGTCGCTGATGGGCAGGACCAAGCTCGCGTAGTTTGCGATGAATTTGCGATAATACCCAGCCATTCCGAGAAAGCTTAAGAGCTCTTTCCGGTTTGAAGGCGCCGCCCACTTCTCAATGGCGCGCACCTTGTTTGCATCAACCTCGAGTCCGTTAGCCGAGATCGTGTGTCCCAAGAAGTCAACCTTGGGCACTGCAAAGGCGCACTTCTCTCGACGGGCGTAAAGCTTTTCCGATCGCAAAACTTCGAGAACAGCACGCAGATGTATCGCATGCTGACCGACACTCGTTGAGTAGATGCAAATGTCGTCCAAGTAGACAACCACAAAGGAGAATTTGTCGAACAACGACCGCATAAGTCTCGACCATATCCCTGGCATTCCCGCCATTCCCATGGGAGCTACGCACCATTGCAATATCTCTTTGTGCGTCCGAAAGGCAGTATACTTGCGTGCATGTGGTTCAACCAGCATTTGATGGTACCCAGA